CTATTAAATCACTTCCTGATACATCGCCATTCTGCCAACCTCTGCAGAAAAAAATCTTAAAATCAGCCTGGCATTACACCCACAAAGCCAAGGTCTGGTCCTTTTTGGAAGAATTTATTCCAGGGCCAAGGTTCTTAATCTGGAAACAATTTTGGGCTAGAGAATAGCCAGACACTCAAGCAAGAAACTCATCACTGGGTAGAACGTTCCTTTTACTTGCTGACTTTCTGAGTAATATTTATGGAAATAAACTTAGAAGAATATATGGTATGTTAAGTTAGCAGAATGGATGCTGCCTGCAGGCTATTGCAGTCATTCTTGCTGACATTATCCTGTTTCTATCAGATTGGCTATGTAGCTCCCAGTATTTTTTGGTGGGGTTTGCCTTACAAGAGGAGTTTTTGCTGAAAGGAAGCTGGAGAACAGTAAGCCATGATGTCAACAGAGGGACATCACCTCAAGCAGTGTCTGCTGCTCTGTTGGGGGGGGGAGGGGGTGTTTATGTCAGTGCATGTAATAAAAAATGTTGTATTTACTGGTCTCAGGCAGCTGCAGCAGGAACTTAGGGGTTCCCTCTAATGTTCAGTGAGCATGATTCATCCCCCCACAAATTACTGCACATCATTTGAGCGTGTCTGCATAGGCTGGTTTTCAGACCGGAGGTGTTGCCTATACTGCAGCTAAGAGGTGCGAATGCAGCATGCTGAGGCCTACCAGGCTAGCTTTAATCTAATTAGCTTGCATAACAATGTTAGTGAAGATGTGATAGAATGAGCTTCAGTAAATAAATGTATGCTGATGTGAAAGCCTGCTAGGAATCATCAGGACATCCCTGGGTGGCCAGCAACAACAATGTACAAATTTTAAAAACTCTTCTCAAGGGCTAGTGAAGCAACAGCTTGGCAATTGCTTCAAAGCCCCAAATCATCCCACAGATAGTTTACAATTAGTAATAGTAAACTAAAAAACTAGTGAAGCAATTTAAAAATGTTATATAAATTAACTGCTTGTCAAAATCAAATTTGAGCTGGAAAAAAGTTTTAATTTCCTCCCTGTCGTTTCCCAGTCTTTAAAGATTTGCATGCACGGCTATCTTGACTACAGCCAGTCCCTCCGTGTTAGCTGGTTCTATCGTAACAGCCACATCTGTCAGAGCAGGGTCCTTCTGTCTTCTTACTGCTCCCTACACAGTTTCATTACTGGTAGCCTGAGTATCACTCTTTGTGTTCTTGAATGGTAGAAGAGTAACACAAGTAGATGAAATTGGCTCTGGGTGCTGAGATACTACATATTCTTTTGTGAAGAGGAGACAGCCCACTGGCTTAATGAGAAAAATTAGAAAAGTAACTCAGAAGTAGAAAAGGTAATTGGAAGACAAAAGCTGGTTACAGAACCAATGGATATAGACCTTTAAAGCTTTAAAACCAAAAGATAGCCATGAGAGGAAGTAGTAAATGGAAGTTAGGCAAACAATGTAGGAAAAAGTTTGATCATTATTTTCAAAATAGGACAATCTACGGGGCAGGGATGGTGGAATATGGTTGAAAAGCATGTACACTTGCTCAATCTACAAGGTTCATCCTTCTGGTACTGCTTTATTATATTGTTCTGCGAATGAGCATTACTGGACAGGAACATCACCCCTTGCTTTTGCTCTTGTATGGCTGAAAGACACAGAAAGTTGGCTGCAGCAGCAAAAGCAGCAGAACCCAGCATCTCTCCAGTTACAACCCTTACACTGAGACCACTTTAACTGGTCTGGAAAATCTGCTCTGTGTACATGCCCAGGCAGTGCTATACAAAATACCAGTGGAAGTTAGTATTAGGGCGCACGGGGAATAGCACACATGGGCTCCTCCTCCACAAATCAGGCTTTGCAGGGAGTAACAGGCAGACAGTCATTGACAAGGCTTAGTGAATACTGGGAGGGAACCACCTTAACTCGGGGATCCTTCCTTCTTGCTCCTGCTTGAACTTATGGAGAGGCAATCGTGTTTCTTGGGCTTGGAGACAAACTCCTGGATGCTGTGATTTGCCCTGTCCCTTCATTTACAGTAATAGAGAGGTGCCTTGTGTTTAAACATAGGATGGGAATTAAGAAGTCTCATTCTGAAACAGATTTTCTGCATGACCTTGAACACTTAATCTCTCCTTGCTTGTTTTCTCATCTGTACAACAGGGATAATAATGTTTATTGACCACGCGGGGGGCTGTAAGGCTAAATTAATTAATGTTATAAAGCACTTTGGTTCTCTTAGATAAAAAGTTTTTGGGAGGTATGAAGCATAGCTATTTATTATCTGCATTTTCTTCACTTTTTATTCATTCCCTATCAATTCTACTTCAGTGATCCTAATCGTTTCATCTGGGTGAAAAAGAAGAAATTGGAAAAAACTAATGATTGCATAGAAACTAATGTTTCAAAAGACTGGTCTAAATTTCTTAATTTTAAGTGTACTTCCTCACAACTAACATGTATATGGATCTTCTTGAACAATGTTTCTTCTCTTTGGTGACTTTCCAGTGTGGTCTTTTCTTCTTTATATACTATTTAAGGTATCCATGAGCTCACACAAATGGGCAAGAGTATGTGCTTCTGCTCTTGCAATTTAACTTCAATTTCTTTGATTATATTTTCTGTTTGTTCTATTTTAACCCCATTCCTCTCTTGCTGACTTTTCTTCTATTTGGCAGACTTTTTTTCCCTTCACCTTTTAAGAATCCCAAACCCACCAATGAAGAATCATTTGTATACACTGTCATTTTCTATTTGCTATTTTACTGGGTTTTTTTCCAATGAGACAGGGCAGGCAGTGTGCTGTGCTGGATATCAGTACAGTGCACCTCAGGTACGCTGAAACCATTTGACTTCACCTTATGTCATTTCTAGAATGTATTTTCTTAGCAATGAGCCAGGACAGGAATTTGGCTAGATTTTGCCACATTTCTTAAGCACTGTACAGCTAAGGGCTTCCAGAACATCTGATGCTACTGTTGTAGTGTTCAGCAGCCTGCTGAAAGTGTGAGATATGAAGTAGATTATCTAACACCCAAATACTGGCTTGTCTGAGACTTTAGATAAGGATAGGATTTGAATGTATGTATCCAATCTGTAAAAAGTGGTGGCTCTGCAAAAAATGAAATTATAGGCTGCATTGTAGGTAAATTCTATGGTGTAATCACTTCAGATGAGTTTGAAGTGCAGTTTCCTATACTTGCTTCTGTATTCCTATTTTTCTGCTCCTTACTATTTCTTACATAATTTGGGATTAACTTTTCTATGCCTCATTGCTTACCCTAGTCACTTCCTGAATTTCAAAAATGTCACTGAACATGTCTTTGTTAAAAGTAATAATAGGCTATGAAGCTAGCTTATTCAACATGCTCAAGTCAAAAGATATGTACAATCATTAAACTGCAGGGAATGAGTGGATTTTGTAAGGAGGCAGCTTGTTCATTGGAATTTGTTGAGCTCTACAGAATAAGCCAAGTTTGAAGAAAAAATAGATACTTAATGACTTCGAAGTTATAAAATCTGAACGGCTTTTTGATAAACGTGGAGGATGATTTTCTCTCCTCTGTTTACAGCTTAGACCATTAGGACAAAGATTGACTGTAAATGTTAACATGAAATTTTCTGAGGCCTGGCCTCTAATTCTGCTTCGAAAGGAGGTGGGGAAAAGAGGTTAAGAAATGCTAACACTAATTCTGGGTTTGATTTACTATAACTCTGTTTCTATAAAAATCCTGCCTTGCAATGACTGTGAAATTTCCCAATATTTGTAACACAGTATAGAAAACTAGTGGCCAGATTCTGGTCAGAATGTGTCCCACACATTACTAGGTCCCTCTTAGTCCTGATGATCAACATAATAGCAGTGATTGGGAAGCATCTGTGGCTTGAAAGGAAACTAACTTTGTCTTTTACCTGTTATCACTGAGCAGCATTCCCTCCAGCTGTAACCTCACTGCACAGGTCTGGTGCTCTCCACCTCAGAGACCGCAGCGGTGGAAGTGCTGTGCTCCCTGCATCATTTTGTGTTTTGCTTATATAAATGGAAAATGTGATGATGGTTTATTTTGCTGAATTTGGACATAGGAATGCAGGACACCAACTTCAATGAGACATCCCCTAGGACTTTAATGTAGCCTAATGATAGTACATTGGGATGACTGCTGCTTCCAAGTAGTTCAGTGGCATTTAACTGGTTAAAAGGGTGTGAATCTATGTGCTTTCAGTCTTCAAATAGAAGTCTTTACAGAAAGATTAACGCTTCGGTTAACACTCTCCTGGATATTTATGAGATCTTGCTGAAGCCTTAGAGGGCCTCACATTTTAATGCATTTGCAAGGCTGGCTATTGAATGAGTGAAGAAAAGTGTGGTATATGCAAAGGGATGTTTAATCCTCCTGATTTCTCCAGATTGCTCCTCTGTGCAGAAAAAAAAAACCCATTTTGTCAAGTAGACTGCCTCTTTTCTCTTTGCCTAACTGAACTCTGTTTCTTTTGTCATCCAGGAGTTAGGAAAATGTTTCTGTGATTTCTCTGAATTTCCCTGGGAATATTTTCAGGTTAAAGTGAATACAGCTGCTTTGTCTGAATATTTTTAATTTATAATGCTTACATATTTAATAACTATTAAATATAAATATCTAGGTGAGTGGAATAACTTTATTTGGGATGTAGGTTCTTTCATTAGACAAGGTTTTGTTCTTCATGTGACTGCAGCAGTGACTACCTTTACTAAAGACATAAGTCAAGAGATTGTTAAAAGTGGGTCCATATAAATATTAAATATTAAGCTTTCTGCTGTTTGTTTCATAAAGTACAGTGTTTATTGTGACAATACTTCATTCTTTGCTTTTCTGGTTTTAGGGACAAGTTTAATGTTTCAGCAATATTGTATACTCAGGATACTTCAAGAAGGTACAATTATTTTAAAAGCAGCATTTGACTACAAGTCAGGCAAATTAAAACATCAGTTATTATCTCTCAACAGATTTTACCTGATTAGTGGTGGAGTTCCTTTTATTATATGTGGGATTACAGCAGCAACCAATATCAATAATTATGGGATTGAAGGCAATGCACCATAGTAAGTATAAACTATTATCATAAAACTTTAAGGAAAACATACTCTTTTTCTTATGCCTATAAATGTAACTGACTTCATAAAGGGTAAAGACATGCCATTTGGGATGACATTTATTATGAAATTTTATTAATTAATAGCTATGGCAGAGCAATGTCTTAATCTGGGGCTCGCTGCTTCACCTCTATCAATTTGACTCCATTACGGTCAATAGAATCACTTTTCATTTACAGAATTACTCCTCATTTACATCCGAATAAGTGAAAGGATATTAAAAATGCCTAATAGATAGCATATTTAATGGAGCTACTAATGAATTAAATACTTTCAATTCATTCTCTACCTTGAATTGATATCCTTCAGGTGACTTATTTAAAGTAATTTACAAATAATTATGTGAAAAAAGGACAAGTAAAAATCCTTCCTCTGCCTTCTCTACCCCTGCCCCTCCCTTAAAAAACAATTATTTTGGATTTTCATCACCTGGAAGTGTTCGTCACAACATCTTGCAATCCCGACGTAGCCCTCTAGTGTACTAGTGTATTAGTGTTCAGTCTACCTCCACAAGCTGTCCGGGCATCACATTGTTATTAATTCTTGACATGAAACATGAGATATCAATAAAGTACAATAAGCCTTTCCATAAAAGTGTAGCAGAAAATGAATCAGACGGCAAAGTTAAATACATTCTGTGTAAATGATCAGCGTGGCAATGACTGGCACACTAGTGGATATATTAGTACTCTGCCAGCACGAGTACTCTGGAGAACATCATTCTTAGTTACTGCTTTGAGCATCTATTGTAATACATTTGAAACTAGGTATGTTCTGGGTAAGAAAAGTGGAAACAAAGGAGAATGGTTTGTAAGTGAGCATTTGACTCCTTAAAGGCATTTTTACAGGTAATTGAAATTTAAATTCTGGTAATAAATTAGTACATACCATGGCTAACTGTTTGCTCTGCCTAGGGCCCAACTCATATTCATATATTTATTCAAACTTATCCAATTAGACACTTACAATCAACAGTATATTAAAAGACTCAATTATTTATGTTCATAAATGTGAGACATTTTTCACTTTGGCACAGTTACAGAGGTTATACTTCTTTAATCATGTTAATTATAGCCAATCAATACCTGGTACCACAGTCTGTACAGAAAACAAGGCACAGGTGAGGGATGGTTATAAGACTGAGTAAAAAGACAGCTTCTAATTCAACAACAGCATAGTGAGTTATATGCCTTATTCATTTTTAATGGTATTAGTAGAGTAAATGTAGATGCACAAATTTGAACTTTTTTTTTATGGAACTCATTTTTTAAGTGATCCACAATGAGATTCCACTTGAAATAAGAGCATCCCAAGAGACTGTTCCACTGGGGAGCATTCCATTCTCCACTTCGCATCAAATATGCAGCGTTCAAATGTACTTCAAGTATTCATGTAGCTTTGTGCTCTCTGCTTATCCAATTAAATATAGGTGGTAACTTACCTATCTTTTCACAAGATACCTTTCAGGGAATCTTTTCATGTGTATATCTGACAGCAAAATATATACTCCTTGAAGTGTCTCTAAGTTCATTAATAAAAGTGTGCATGTTTTTGTTTAAGGTTCAGATTTTAAAAATTTGAAGTTGTTAGTCTGCAGTTTCTTGTGATAAATACCCAGTGGGACTGCCTCTTTTTAGCTGAGAAGTTCTCAGCCTGGGAGAAAAATTCATTCTGCCCTTTTTATAGTAAGTTGTAGATGATTCCTGGCTTGACAAGAATGTGATACCAGAAGGTTCCTCGCTGTAGTGGAGGGACTGCAACCAATCACACACGCCTAAATGAATATGAAGTGTCACACAGTGTCACTTTTAGAGCTGGAATGGATCATGACAGATCACCTGGTCTTTCTGACCCAGTGGGAAATTAGCTATATCCAAACCATTCCTGACAGTTATTTATCTGAGGTGCCTTAAATGCTCTGATAATGGATAGACCCACTTTATTCCAACAGCTTATTATCCTAATTGTCCTAACAGCTAGGAAACTTTTTGAAAAATCTAATTTAAATCTTTCTTGCTGCAGTTTAAGCCCATTACTTCTTGTCCTAGTCCAACAGATAAGGAAAGTAACTTATTCCTCTTTCCAGAAACCCATGTAATATTTAGAGTATAAGAACCTAATAACAGCTGTACTAGCTTATACAGCCCTGTCTGTCTGTGGCTAAAAGCAGATCACAGGGAAGAGTAAAAACTAAGCAAGTATTCCTTCTCCCCCTGACCCAAGTTCTCCCAGTTTCCATCTGGAATTTCATTAGCCAGAAGTGTTTTCTTCCCCCATGTTTATTTGATTAGATCATTCATCCTCAGGACAGTCCTGTTAGACTGCTACTAAATTATGCAGCTGACTGAGGCTTATTCAGCTCATACTGGCCTGTGAACTACTTTAAGCTGCTCTAAACCAGTTATGGTTATACTATTTGAAGCCTAGCAAATAACGATCAATGCTACAATATTATGCTACCAGTGTATCACAGAGAGACCATCAGTTTCCTTAATTTTTCTGAGGACATTCAAATTGGTGTAAATTAACTCCCAGGAAGTTCAGAAACAGTGCAGAATTCAGAAATGGCATGTATCTTTTGGGTCTGCTCACTGCAGAAAGTGGTGACTGTTCAACTGGAACTCTTTTTTCAGCCTTTCTTATTACACAGGCTCTTCTCTACTTTGGCAACAAGAAAATTCTGTAAGAACAATCTTCAGGCTTAAGAGTTTGTATCAATGTTCATTAATACAAACCATTGAAATCTGTACATTTCTGTTGCTCACACAGATTGCATAAACTATGCCTCATTTGCTTTTTAATCAAAGTATTAGCACTGACATTTTTAATAGTAAAAAAAAGGCTTGACATAAATGGCCTTATACTTCACTGCAATTCAAGTTTCTAAACTGACCTACATTTCTTGGAAATTTTCAGCTTTAATATCCTGTAAATTATACTAGACATTTTATTCTATTAAAAAATATGAAAGTGATACCTCAGTTTAATTGATACCAAAGACACACTCCCTTCCTCCACAACAAACATCTGAACTTCTGAGACACTGTTGGGTCCTACAAGTTAGTCAGAAAGCCCAGTTTCACATCAGTCAGTTGTCCATGGTATCTAATGTGTGCTATAAAATGTTCTTGACTCTTTTTTTGTTGTTTTCAGTTGCTGGATGGCATGGGAGCCTAGTCTTGGTGCTTTTTATGGGCCAGTAGCATTCATTGTGCTAGTCACCTGTGTTTACTTTCTCTGCACGTATGTGCAACTGAAGCACCATCCTGAACGCAAGTATGAGTTAAAGGAGAAGACAGAAGATCCGCAGAGAATGCCAAGTACTGAGGTGGGCCATGGTCATATTACAGACTCTGTGTCCGTTTCCCAGGCAACCTGCTCCATGATTTCTTCTTCCTTATTGGAAAATGAGCATTCATTTAAGGCTCAGCTTCGAGCCGCAGCATTCACTTTGTTCCTGTTTACTGCCACTTGGACCTTTGGAGCACTTGCAGTATCTCAAGGTCATTTCTTGGATATGATATTTAGCTGTCTTTACGGAGCCTTCTGTGTGACCTTGGGGCTTTTCATCCTGATCCATCACTGTGCAAAGCGAGATGACGTGTGGCATTGCTGGTGGTCCTGTTGCCCATCTAGAAGAAACACCTATTCTGTCCAAGTTAATGTGCGCCCAAAGGTTAATGTCAATGGTGACACTCAAGTTCACGCACCTTGTCTTCAGGAATCACCATGTCCCAACAAATCAGCTGTGTTTAATCATCCAGCAGCTAGCCACTGCAAACTTACCAACCTACAAGCAGTTCAAAATCACGTTAACTGCCTTTCACCTGTGACACCATGTTGTGCAAAAATGCACTGTGATCAGCTACTTGATGATGAAGCTCACATTCATGTCCACAGCGAGGGAACCTTCAGACCCAATATGCACATTCATAGATGTCTGAAAAGCAGAACTAAGCCACGTTACTTCAGTCGGCATAGATCTGCAGGTGAAAGAGAATACGCCTATCACATTCCTTCGAGTATTGATGGCAGCATCCACAGCTCACATACAGACAGTCCCCACAGTACGCACGATAGCCAGTCAGGTCACAGACGGGCCTGCTGCTCAAAAAGTGATCCATATCCTACTGTCAACCAGCCCGAAAGTAGCGATGCAAGTACTGTAATATATAGTTGTGCTAAAATGCCAGAAAGTGACACTGTGCACCATCCAGCTCATTTTGAAATGCACCCACGGACACAGTCATTGCCATTTAATACGACGAATCACAACGGAATTCTCAAGGGAAACGTGCATGAAGCCATGATATACAGCTCAGATAGTACAGGAAATATCAAAACTGGCCCTTGGAAAAATGAAACTACTGTGTAGTTCATGGGCCATCATAATGTGTTTTTTCCCCTAAACCATTGTTATCTTTGTTTTTATTCCAAACTAAATAAGATGGCATATTTGTGTAGCTCAATAGTAAATTGTACAGCTTTTCCATCTTTATTTCCATTTTCTTAATAAGAGTCTAAAAGAGAGAGATAGTGACAGTTTTAAAGTGAAGTTATTTTTAAAAGAAAGTTATAAAAAAATTCTGAAAGATAATTAGACAATGAAGTCTAGACAATGGAATGAGAGGCAATATCCTTTTGTTACACAGAACATTTCTTTAGAAATAAATCATTTTCATTCATTGTTTTCACTTTTGTTCTGTAGTAACTTCAGACACTTTATAAACATATCAGCATCTTAAACTTACTTATTTATTTTTGTAGCAAAATATTATTACTGTGACATGGATTTTAATCAGAAGTGACTACGGTAGAAATGATAAACAGGATTTTATAAAATTACAGCTTTTTAGATCTACAAAAGTGATACTGCCTCTAAAGATCTTCTGTAGCATAAGACCTGTAAAGTTGTGTAATGTACAGTCCCTGTTCTGTCCTTTTTCTTGTTGGAGAGAAGTGCTAGGTAATGTCTCTGTTACATCTATGGTGCTGTATTGGTTGTATTTTGCATGACATATGTCAGGATATACCATTTGCTGTTTTCTAGTGTTACACGTGTTTAAAAAAGAACAAAAAAAAGTGTTGTACAAGGCTGTGAAAAACCCTATTGATATTAATCTAGAGCATTATAAATCTACAGGAAAAAAAATCACTCTGCACTAGTTTAAGTGGCACAATCCTTTGTATAAGGTTATATGATAGCTTTGATAAGGGTCCACTCTAATGTCTTTACAGAGCATGCACTACTCATTGTATGTGACACTGTGCGGTGTAATAGCAATTGTCTCAACAAGTTTTACACTTCTTTGTAAAGTATGCCTTTTGAACAAATCTGTAAGCTGTTTCACGATCTTTCCACATCTGTTAAGGTAGAGCAGTTTTATCATTAACTCTTTGAGGACTACAGTTATTTTCTTAAAGTAGCTTATTCTAGTTCAGAGACACTGTATATATGATGCTGTCTGTTTAGTTACATGATCAACGTAGTCCAGAGTTGTCAGGAAAGAGAAAGTTCAGTCATTTTCCAAAAACACACCTTCTTAGAGTCCATCTATTAATTTCAACACTTGCTTTCTGAAAACCCATTTCCTCCCCTAGCAAATTTCAGATTGTCTTCATCCTTTAATGCAAATTTGACCTTCAGAGAAGTTCTTTATGTTCATGATTTCTGCTGAATTGTAGGGCATTCCAGGGTCAGTACCATTCTCTATTAACAAGGCTCTTGGCAAGAAATTTTTTCATGTTTCCATGAACATCTGGACACAAAGCATCAACTCACAGTACAGAACTGCATCATAATTATCCCTATATGAAATAAAAGTGCTTTTTTTCAAATAGGAAGGGTGCAGAGTAATAATAGATCACAGAAAGTGAATAGGAGCATAGAGCTGTGAGAAAAATGTCTACAGTGGAACGTGAGCAGTACATCCATAAATAAGAGAAAAAGCACAATTCTGTATGGCCACATGAGAAAGTTTGCTGTCATGTCTTAACACAGACTTATGTAATTGCTACATTGCTGCAGAGGGGAAATAGAAAATTCCTGTGAGAGATCATCAGTCTGTGATTCTGTGTATATGTTGCAGAAATCCTCACATAATTCAGCCCATTATTTTTCTGTTATTAGCAGTTTATTAGTCTCTACCTTTTTTTTTTAATATGTAGGAATGCATTTCCTAATAGTGTACATAAAGATGACAATTATAATTGTTAGAATGTTATAAAAACTTGTAAGTCAGATGAATGTGTTCTGCAGTGTTGCAGGTGGGAATTAGTACTCAAAGGGTTAATGCTCAGTATCTGAGTGCAAGAAATCTTGTTTTTCTGTATTTTTGTAAATTTGAAATATATATTGTAAACTCCAGCAGTGCAATGTATCCATCTCAGATCGTGTATTTTTAAAAGGTGAGCAAGAAGAATGCACTAGGTGGTTGTCAAGTTTTAAGCCAATATACAACAGTTTCATGACTGCTTCTTTAGCTAAAAAAAAAAAAAAAAAAAAAAAAAAAAAGCCTGAGCTTTATTATGTATATGCTGTATATGCTTGAACTGTCTCTAAACTAAAATATAGTATTTTTCTTTGTTTGCATAATGAAATATTTTCTGTTTAAAAATTATTTTCTTTTAATATTACTTTCACTCATTCCATATAGACAGTGAGCCCTAAACAAGCATAGACATAATGTGAAATACCACTTCTCTGTGTCTCAGCACTATGTATATGTATATTCTGTAATCGCAAAATCCTAGGAGGTCTGTAGACCGTTATGCAAAATATTCCACACACACACAGCCAAGTGAAATACTCACTCTGCAAGAACCCACTCCGTGAGCTTCTTTATTCAGCTTGTGTTCTAATCACCTCTGTTATTTTGTCTGAGAGGCCAGTTCCACCTTCGTAATGGCTTACAAAGAAGTAAATAGGTGCTGCTTTCCACAGAATATCTTATGTGATAAAACTCTCTGGAATTTAAACATAAAATATTAAAACACTTTTCTTATTGTGTTAAAAATTAATTTAGTGAATATTTCTGGGCTAATTTGGAAAAGATGTGTTATGCAATAATCTGTTTGCATATTATTTTTTCAGAAAATATATAGTATAACTACAGAGTAGGAGAACGTGATATTAAATAAATATAGAAATGTTTTTTAACATCAAATTTGACCAAAATGCTTTTTGTGCTTTTGACTTTTTTTTCCTTAAGATAAATGAGATAATTTCAATGCTTTGGGAGTCTGGCTTTGTTTTATTGTGGGGTTTTGGTCAACTATAGTCAGCAAACCATTACTACTTTACCTGATTTTCTTTCGTATAAAAATAAAGTCAATGAAATAAGTGGAGTATAAGAGATATATTGTCCTAGTAAATTCCTCACGGACATACAATGTAACATTTCAAAGTCAGCATTAGTTTTGGTGATTCACTGATGACATAAAAATGACTGAACAGATTTTTAATGTTCGCTTTCTGTCTGAGATTAAGCAAGAGAAATTTCATCCAAAAAAGATAATTTTTGGAGAATGATGCAATCAACAGAAATCTGAAGGGTTGTTATTACAGTACTACCAGGATAAAAATATGCTCTGATGCTGCAGTGTTCTTCTCTGCCAATCCCAGTTTTCGTGACCAAATTTCAGATCACGTAAGTGACTCCATTTTAAGTCACATAGACTGTTTACAGGAAGAATTCCTACCCAGCCTCTCTATATAAAGAGTTTTGGTGTAAAAATAAAGCATACATTTTTGCACATTATGCCTGATCATATGTGTTGTTCCCAAGAAGTCTGTTGGTTGTGTCTGCACTAATATGACTGAGCAGTTGCTGTCAGTGGCCGTAAACACATGTTCTCCTTCACCACACAGCTGCCTGCCAGCTACCCTATGGGCACCCTATCCAGATGTTAACCCACCAAAGGAGCCTTCACTGCACATCTAAAGCATTCTTGCTGTCTAAACCAAAAGCAAGTCTGTGCTTAAAGCAAAGTTGAGGCCACCTGTGGTAGACAACATAGGCAACTGGGCAGCCTCTGCTCGAGCACTAAGGGCTGAAGGCAGATAAACCTAATGCAAGTGGCTTTAAGCAGCATAACTCCTCCTCCCTCCAGCTCTCTGCCAAAACTACCTGCCTAGTAGGTCTGCTGCATACAGACATCTGTCAAATCAACAGAAACCCAGGCAAAATTAGTCAGCTTACCTAAAATTCCTGGTTAGCTGAAATGAGTGTGAAACAGCACAGTGGAGTGAATGATCAGAAAAGCCCAGGTTGGAGGAAACCTTTTTGGATGTTGTGTCACAAAGCTGCTTCAGGTTCATCATGTGTGGGAACATGTGTCTAGGCATCCTGGATGCCCCAAAGATCTGAAATTGCTCTTCTGCAGACACTTTTAAGGCTTACAAAGCTGACTGTAACTCCACAAATTTGGAGGTAGCTTCCGCTGTAAATTATGTGCCTTTTTACAATGGAGAGATTGTCTGACAGAGGAGGCTTGTCCATTTGACTATTTCGGAAAAAGAAAGCTGCTATCAGCATCATGCCAGTAACCTTCTTAACATAGAATCGTCTTTGCATGGAAACAGAAAAAAGGAAGGTGGGTTTGGTTCTCTGTAAAGCGGACCACCTGTACTCTCACTGAGGTTTTTTTGCCTATGACAAGAAATGTTGGGGTGATGAAGACATTAGCAGCTCAGCAGCTTCCTTACCAGGACATAAATTCAAGTTCCTGTACCAGCACCCTCCAGTTCAGAAAGAAGCTGTAGGAGGCAGCTGGATGAATCAGGATCCATCAGCTGGGTTTAAAGGCTGGCTGGCTGACTTCAGTCAAGCAATTTCATTAGTAAGTTGGCGCTCTAGGCAGCTTTTGCTTGCTTAGTTAACCCTACAGAGAAGGGAGCTTTTGGTTTGGTTCGTTGTTTTCTTTGCTGTGCCCAGTTGACCATTTTTTAATTAACAACTGAATTGCTAAGAAGAAAACTTATTCTACAAATTACCTTGACTATATAAACCATGGCTTTTTGTTCCCTCTTACTAGGTCTGTGAAGGTGCAAGTGAATCCCTATTCCCTTATCCTACCAGTCTATTACCTGAGTTTTTCAGGTGCCAAACAAGCAAGCATCAGTGAATTCAGGACAGTATTATAGGGCTCACTTCTCTGCAAGGAGGGTTGAAATTTGATCTGCAAGATCTAGAGCATCCAACATCCTGCTTTAAGGTTGGGCAGCTGGCCATGCCTGAGAGGTAAGGGGGGTTTTGTAAACAGGGTGTCTGTATACCCCATAGGTACTACTGTCTCTTTACATTTTGATCTGTTTGAATTCTGTAGTGCCTTGCAGTCTGAACAACAAAATGACTGACTGTTCCCATCAGCCCG